TTTTTTTCTTTTCCACATAATTATGTGAATATTATTTTTCATATTAAAATAACCACTAAACAGTAAATGCACAAAGCAAGGATAATCAGATTTAAATACCAATTTATCACAGAACTTCAGCAGTTGTGTGTTAAATTTAATGGAAAAGCTCTTAAAGAGCCCCAGTTCCTAGAGAGTATTCTCCTTGTCATCCCTTTCAAAAGAAGCTGTTCCAGTGGGAATGAGGTTGACACTGTCCTTTGACAAACTGCTCAAGTACAGCTAGACCCCAGCTCTGGAGTAACAGATTGTGTGTCACTATCATCACCTCCTAACGAGTTACCAAATTCATTTCCATGTAACCCCAAGGAAACGTGGAGTCAAGTCGCTGTAAAGACTAACTCGAGTGCACATGATGAGGAGACGTATTCCCCCTGTGTTAGTAGGCTATTAGAAGAAATGCGTTTGTGTTATAAATGACAAGGCAATTGGGTGATGTCAAGTGTAGTTCCCAACTACACTGAGGAATATTATTTTCCCATTTCCCAGAGTTTGTATCTGTACCTGACTAAAACCCCCAAGTTGGTTTGTTTTTCAATGACACAACGTCAGAGACCACAAACACAACATCAGCCCAATCAAGGTAGACACCGTACCTGCAACAATGAAGCAGCAGCACTCTAGGTTTAGTATTGGTTGCAGAAATCCAAAATTCTTCTTAAAAATGAATTCCAGCACAGGCTACTTATTTTGCCCACTTTACTGTCACTCATATTCACGCCGTTGAGGAGAAACGCTCTCGGGCATGCCAAATCTTTGGTTGTTTTTTTTTTTCTCCCCACTCAGAGCCCACAAATGAAGTTACACATCGTTTCCTGATTAGTCCTTTCCTCCACAATTCCAGGCTTTTGAATTCCTCAGTCAATCATCACAGTTGAGGCCACGGACAAGAAAACACTCACAGATGAATTGAAACCTTGAACCGGCCTTCCCAATTTCAAAATGGAAACTATTGTTACCAAGAAACTCAACAGATTATACTACAGGCTTTTAAAAGCTGAATTTTTTCTCTCTTGAGATTGAAATCTCCCAAACAAGCTGGTGCAGGTACCATTCTGGTGCTTGTAGATTAATTATTTTCTTGTGCAGCTAAACTGAGTTTTTTCAAGCAGCATGCTGTTCTCATACTCGAAACAAAAAAACCTCAACATTTAGACAAGGAACATCAGAGCCACGATTCATTAACTGTTATCAAAGGAATCGAGTAGAGTAGCAAGGCCAACCCATCTGTTTTGGAAGGCATCAAAAGACTACTCCTTCAGCTACAGTCAGAAGGCATCAAAATGTTCATGTAACTCCACCAGCCCTTTCTTAGATTTGAAATTTAAGGTACACAGAAGTTTTCCAAGTTCCTCTGAATATCCAAGTGGCCTTAAAATTCACGCTGTGGCAGTGAGTCGCGTCCCATCCACTTTCCTTTTCCAGGTGGGTGTGCTGAAGTCATGAAGCCTGTGTACTCATACCAGAACATTAACACTACTGCTTTTCACTTCAGTCACCAGAAAGTTCCAAAAAGTTACTTTGAAACTTAGCCTCGATTAACAAGCAAAACCCTAGTTAACCGATGACTATTTACCTTAAACCAAAGCAAAACTAATGTATTTGAAGACCGTCCCACAAATGCCAGAAAAAGCTAGCGAGGCCCTGAACCATCACCTGTACTAAATGGAAAAGTAAATTCTCTATCATAGATTTATTTCGTTTCAGCATTTTGTTTCTAACTAGGGTTTCCCAAGGCAGGGGATGAGAAAGAGAACAGAGTAAGGAAAGAACTCAAGCATTAAGAATATATCAGAAAAGTGAGAAGCTGAAAACTCAAAGTAAAGCGGAAGCTGACACTAATGTCAGTTCATACTTAGCACCTTTATTTTTGAAGACGTTTCAGGTTCAATTCTCTGAATCAGCTCCTTCATTCTCCGTAAGCACAGAGTGCCCAAATACCACTGCAATAAGCACTTAAGAATTATCAAGCACTATTGAGAGAGTAGTAATCCTTCTCCTTCAGAGAGAAGTTTAGTCATGGTTGGAAAATGAAAATTGACCATTTAATCCCACAGATTTACACCGCATTTCTAACTCAGATCTCGGTGCCGTGGAAGCTTAACAGAACCATTGTTTGACCATGCTGAGAACTGTGTGGAAAAAGGGGCTAAGGTTGCTGCAGCTGTACTTCCCGACGTCAAACAGATTAAATGCTATTCAATAGGATCATTTTCATTTCACATTGTCCGTGTATTGTATTATAAAAATTCATTTTATATCCTTTAAGTTAGATACATGGTGACGTCCGCTCCATTTAGAGTTAATGGATGGTCATTCTAGTCTGAGCCTCCTGAAAAAGTGAAAGAGCCTGTAGTCTAAACACTTTATTACAGAAAAAAATGGCAACTGGGCTCATTTGACAATTTACACCATCAGGCATTTGTAGGACAGTCAAAGCAGCAAAGTAATTTTACTTGAAACATTTTACAGTTTTCCACAGAACAAAGTTTAATACAAGAAAGTATTACACAATTACCCTAAAATAAACGCACTGACAACATCAGTCTGTTTTGAAAGCCCTGTAATTCTGTCTTGGTATTTGATTTCTTCTTGATGATTATGGCAGAATACCAAGGTGTTATCAGGTTTCTTTCAGATGAGCAAAAAGAAAACAGAACATCTACTGCCTTCTCCACACACTCCACTTTCAGACCTCCTTCCCACCAAAAAAGTCATTTAGTTCCCCCTGTTTGCTCTCCTTCCTCCTGCATATTCCCTCCATAGTGACCATTCCCAAGCCGTTCCCTAAAACCTATGGGTGAAGAGTAAACCATACTCTTCTGCGCAAGAGCCAGCTCTGTCATCCAGAGAAATAAGAGGAGGAGGAGAGTGACAGATGCTGTCCTTGTACCTAGAAGGGCAGCCCAACCTCACGCTCCCAAATCACAAACCACAAGGCCAAAAGGCCGCCCAACCTCACGCTCCCAAATCACAAACCATAAGGCCAAAAGGGTGTTCTGTTGAACCATATTTAAGAAGTGTTGAACCACTTGAAAAATACTTCCAAATTTTAATTTGATGATTAGCAGGCTAGAAGAGGTTGTTCTGCTGACTGTTGTTCAGCCGACAACAGTCCAAGAAGTGTTGTTAACTACTGGTCTTGAAATCAGAACACCTGACTCCTACCTTGAGGACTTGGATTCTACTCCAAGTTCTGCAAATTTGCCCAGAGCCATCCAGCAGACAAGTGTTTCAAGTGCCTAATGCAGCCTCCCCTGCTACAACATGGAGACACTTACCTTCCTTTCCAAAGCACACCAAGTTCTCCTGCTGAAAGCTCTATACCTTTCGCATATACAAAAACTACAATAAATAGTATCACTCAGACAACTTAGAGGAAGGAATCTCAGATTTTTCTTTGTTTTCAAAAATCGCTTCCTGAAAAGCCTCTGCTACTATTTTCAGTCAGTAAAGTAACAGATAGATTACTGGCAGTACCAAAATAATCATTAAGACCTCTAAAATAAGGCTACTTATTACTAGGTGTACACATCGAAACTCATCACTCTTCGCCTAGATAACATCAATAAAAGAAAAGCTCCTGAGCCTCAACTTCCCTACAGTTAATGGGCTTGCTACTTATTACTAGGTGTACACATCGAAACTCATCACACTCTTCGCTTAGATAACATCAATAAAAGAAAAGCTCTTGAGCCTCAACTTCCCTGCAGTTAATGGGCTCCTGCAATACACATACAGCCTCCTGAAAATGGACTAAAAAAAAAAAAAGGAAATTAGTCAACAACTTTCCTGTTCATTAAGAGGCAAAAGCCCTTCACAGAATAGCAGCATTCTTAAAAAGAAGAGTCATTTTGTGTGTATGCACTTATTAAAAAAATCTGAAACTACAGAAATAACTTGTTATCTTTAACTTGCACAGTTCCCTTTCCTTTAATTTTCTAGGAAATCTCACAGAGCCTAAAAAATCCATACCTGCATAAGAACAGAGACAGCCCTACAGAAAAACTCAGGCAAGAAGGGATTTTAAGGAGGGATTATGAGTATGAAGAGAGATACATTCTTAAGTGAGATTCTTCTGCATCTTCAGGGATTTTCTGTAATATAATCATTTCTACCTGCACAGGGCATCAAAACTAATTCCAAGGAAGAAACTGTATTTGTCAAAGCTGATTTTCCTTGATTGTCTGCAGACCAAAGGCTCTACCTGTGGGCTCCACCAGTAGCCTTTATATTCTCCAGTCAATACAGAAATATACTACCAGCGCTGTACAGCCTACACAAGATGTTCCATGCCTGCAGGCATTGAACAAAAACTTTTTTGCAGATGTATCAAACCCAAGTTACTTTCATTTCAGAGCTACGCTCGATGAGATCCCATCCTACCCAAACTCTAAGGGCCCTGTTTCTAAAGAGGTACCAAGTAACAACCACTCGCAGCCACAGCATCTATACCGGGACCCACTTCTTGTCCCATCTCGAGGTACACAGACTCTTCGGCACTTCGCAGGGGCACACAAATTCCTCCTCATTTCTTCAAGTTTTGAAGTTTCTCCAGCTCTGACTTAGAGGATGCTCTCATAATGTTTTTTCCAGAGCACAAGCCACACCTATATCCTCTTTCCTCTGCGTTTCCACAAAGCTTTTCTCAATCCCCTTCGCAGGGAAGTTTCCCGGGAGCCCTTTTTCCACCGCGGCCTTTCCACGGGCAAGGCTGGAAACCCCCCCCCCGGCCGAGCCTCCCGCAGCCCTGCGGGCAGCCGCACAAAGGTGCCCGCCTTCCGAAGCACCTGCACCACAGAAACACCCCCCTTCCCCGAAGAAGAAGGAGCCGCCACCGCCCGGGCCGAGCTTCCAGCCGATTCTGGGCCGATCCCAAACTCTCGAAACTGCGGGATGTGTCGGCGCCGGCCTCCCTCCCCCTCCCCGGAGCCAGGCCCGGGCCCCCTCCCGCCCCTCACCTTGAGGATATTCTCGTAGATGGTGGCCCGGAACTCCAGCAGCGCCTTCTGGTCGAACTCCCGGCCGTGGATAATCCTCATCTGCTTGAGGAAGGTGGATTTGCCGCTCTCCCCGGCGCCCAGCAGCAGGATCTTGACCAGCCGCCTCACGGCCCGTCTCTCCCGGGCCAGCATCGCGTCGATCTCCCGGCTCCGCCGCCGCGCCTCCCGCTCCGCATCGCGGCTCCGCTCCTTGCCC